CTGGGGTACAACCTCGGGCAGGGGTGAGTGTCCTGGGCGGGGGGTGCGCCCTGCTCCTCCCAACCTCAGAGGCCCAGCGCCGCCTTCTGTGCACCCCTGCCTCGTGCCCACGCGGGTGGTCATGCTTGCAGGCTCCGCCATCCAGGTCCTGAGTGCTCTGTCAGCCGTCAGGAACCGGGGGTTCATGAAACACTAAGGGGAGCAGGGGTGTGAAGTGAGCACCTGCCCTCCCTGTCCCTCCTAGAGCGCCCCCCAGCACCACCTCCCAGCCCCATGGAAAAGACCGTGGAGGGAAATTTCCTGCCTCCATCTGTCTGAAGAACATCTTCCTTTTTTTTTTTTTTTTTTTAACTGAGACGCGCTTGACATAGAGCATTGTGAGCGTTCGTGTGTGCGGTGGGAACAAGGAGGTCCGGTCTCCTAACAACTGCGACCTTTACGATCCGGCGTTGTTGGCAGTCATTGCTGTGCTGTGACCATGTTCTGTGTGAGGTCGTTTCTACTCAATCCCAGAAAAAAACGTTCTGGCCGCGGCTTTGCTGAGACACTCTTCACATTCCATCCAACTGCCCACCCGAGGTGTGCGCGGGGCGGGGCGCCTGGCGGGCTCAGTGGGTGGAGCCTGCCGCTCATGACCTCAGGGTGGTGAGTTCAAGCCCCACGTTGGGCGAGGAGCCTACTTAAAAAAAAAAAAAGAAAAGTGTGGACGTTAGGGGTTTATGGTATATTCACAGAGTTGGGCAACCATCACTACCATCAGTGTTAGAGCCTTCATCACCCCAAAAAAGAGGCCCCGTGCCTTCCAGCCTCACCTGCCCGACCACTCCTGCCCTCCAGCCCAGGGCAACCAGCAGCATAACTCATCTTTAAACGTGTTCCCAGTCATTTGGGATTCGGGTTGTTGTCAGCATTTCTCAATGATACGTGATGACGATTCTATTCCATTCCAGTGTGTGGGCTCCCCAACACGAACAAGCGGTTCTCCGACCCCAGCTGGGCTCCTACTGTTCAAGTCAGCTCTGGCACCGTCTACCTGTCCCACAGGACTGCCCCCCCACCCCCGGCCAATCCAAGTCCTTGTCACCTGAGCTTCTGACCCACCGGATACGGATGAGAGGTTCCCACGAGCCCCTCCTTGGGTTTGATGAACGTGCTAGAGCAGCTCACAGAACTCAGGAAAGCCTTTCACTTACCAGATCGCCGGCCTGGGGCGAAAGGATACGACTCAGGAACAGCCAGATGGAAGAGGTGCTCACGGCCAGGTGCGGGGTGCTGCGGGGGGAAGCGCGTGGGGCTCCCATGGCCTCTCCCTGCACCTCCAGGTGCTCGCCGACCTGGCACGCTGATGTTAAGTCCAGACTAGGCTGGGGCCCCGCAAACCTGACCCCCAGCTCAGGGTCACTCCCTCCCGTCCCCATTCCACACAGAGCTCTGGCCACACCAAAATACTCTCAGGTCCCCTGAGTCATCCCAGCTCGCCCCCTGGACACCTGCCCTCCTCTGCCCATGCCCCCTTCCCAACACCATTCTCTACTCACCAAGTCCTACTCCAGTATTGAGACTCAGCCCTGGGGCGCCTCCTGCTGGGAGGCAGACACCTCCTCGGCGCTCCCGCCATGCCCAGCGCTACCCTGGTCATGGCCCATTCATCTTACACTGGGGTCCCCTTCCCCGACCGCCTCCTCCGTGACGCGCCCCTGGCCAGGACCAGAAGACCCTGTTTGCCCACTGAGTTTGTGGCTGGCCTGTGGTCAGGCTGCAGGAAACTGCAGATGTTGGGTAACTAAGGGGATTGGTTCCAGATGGTAAACGAATATGGATTTAGTCCCTGAAGGAGCCATACAGGGAGAGGTTAGCATGGAGCAGAGGGGCTACCAGCCACAGAACAATAAAACTGGTGAGAAACTCGGGGTAGATGGAAGGGGGTCAGGGACTGGTGGCGGAGGGGGACAAGGTTGGCGGCTGGTAGGGGCCAGAAAGGGGATGGCCACGGGAGGCTGTAGAAGGAGTGGCTGAAACACCAGAACTCTGTGGTCTCCTGGTTCTGGAGGCCAGAAGTCCCGGATCAAGGTGTTAGTAGGGTTGGTTCCTGCTGTGTGATTCCATGCATATCTCATTCTTGAAACGGTGGACTTGGGGCACTGGGGTGGCTCACTCGGTTGAGCGACGGACTCCTGACTTCGGCTCAGGTCATGATCTTGGGGTCCTGGGATCGAGCCCCGCGTCCAGCTCCATGCTCTCTCTCTCCCTCTGTCCCTCCACCCCACTCGTGCTCTCTCTCTCTCTCAAAATAAATAAATACATCTTTAAAAAAAGAAAGAGATGGCAGACTTAAAAATGGAGGACAGACCCGTGGTTGTTGGGAGATAAAGATTAGGGATAGTCAAATCTAAAAGGGGGTAGCTCAAGGTAATTCCTCGGTGATGGGGCGGGCCTATATCTTGACTGTCGTGGTGGCTACACAATTCTTTACCTAGATTAAAATTGCACAGCACTACACACACACACACACACACACACAAATGCTTAATAAAGAACAGTGAAACCTGAGAAATGAGGTCTGGAGTCCAGTTAACAGTATTGTATCACTGTCGATTTCCCGCTCTTGATGCTGTATTTTGTGCGTGTGAGATGTTACCACGGGGGTTAGTGGAAACAAAGCTCACATGGGGCCCCGTGTACTATTTTTTGCAACTTCCTGGGAGTCTCCAGTAATTTCAAAATAAAATGTTTAAGAAAATGTAGAACTTTGTTCATCAAAAAACAAACCAAAACCCACCAAGGATGAAGTATTTCTCTTCCTCCTTCCTCGCCCCCCCCTTCCTTCCCTTTTGGGACATTTCAGTCTTAAAGCCATTCAGTGGGAATGAGCCACATAGGCGTCCACGGTGGTGGTGGGGGTGGGAACAGGCAGGGGTTCATCGTGGGGCGTCAGGGTGAAGCAGGGTGGGGAGGGTGTTCATTGGGGTGGGCAGCTCTGTGTGCGGAGTCAGAGAGATTGAGCAGATGAGAAGGGTCTTCGCATGGGTGAGGAGCGGGTGGTGGAAAAGGAAACAGATCATATATAGGAGGCTTGCTCGTAGAAATACGTTTATCAAGTCTATGCAAGCTAGACGTACCCTATCAGAGAAAGGCGTTAATAATACGGAGAGAAAAAGTGCGTGAGTTACACATGAAAAAATGGCCAATATCATTGGTCATTAAGGAAATGCAAATCAAAACCAGGAGGGACCACCTCACGCCCATTAGGATGGCGACGGTCAAAAAGAAAATCAGAGGTGTTGGCGAGGATGTGGAGAAATGGGAGCCCTTGGGCACTGTTGATGGCGATGTAACATGCAACAGCCACCGTGGGAAACAGCACGGCTGTTCCCAAAATAATTAAATGTAGAATTACCATATGTGGAGCCCACACACTGGGATAATTGAAAATAATTGAAAGCAGGGTCCCAAAGACATATTTGTACACCCATGCTCAAAGCAGTGTTATTCACAATATCCAAGAGGTGGGAGCAACCCAAGTGTCCATCGACGCATGAGTGAATAAACAAAATGGGGACTATCTTGTATACATACACACAGTAGAAAATTACTCACCAGCTGGTGGTGAGTTGTCCCGAGCCTCACTGATGGCCCCCCGCTCCTCCATCCACACTGCTGACAAAGGAGTTTGGACTGCTCTCCCCCTGAGCCTCCTGGGGGTTCTTTGTAGAGCTGATAGGAACCACACATTCTGGGACTTGTGGATGAGCTTGGGGTAGATGAAGGAGCAGGGCACTGTCTGATGTCCTGCCCCTAACAGGCGTATCTTCCCCCTTCCAGCCTCCAACCCAGTCAGAAGCCTAAAGGTAGAGGCTCAGCCCACCAGTTCCATCACCTTGAGAAGGGAGGTCCCTGAGGGTCCAGGCCCTCAGCTGTACCTCTAGGGGATCCAGTGGTCTAGGGAGAGCATCCCAGGTGATCCTCACAGCACCCCAGACACCTGGATTGTGGTGGATGCACTTGAACCCCAACTTTGTATGAATTCTTAGTGTGGGCTGAAAAGGACAGAGGGAGCAGCCCCAGGGAGATCCTCTGCATGTTTACAGGTGACAAATGACTCTCCCTAGGGATGACCCTACCGAAGAGAAAGAGAAAGGTCATTGCATTTGAGTCTCGAGGCCGCCATAACAAAGTACCACCAACTGAGGGGCTTAAAGCAACAGACACATGTTGTTTCACAGTTCTGGAGGCTGGAATTCCAAAATCGAGGTGTTGTCATGCTCTCTTTGGAGCCTCAAGAATCTTTTCTCACCTCCTCCAGCTTCTGGTGATTGCTGGCAATCTTTGGCATTCCTTGGTTTGAAGATGCATCACGCCAATCTCTGCCTCCAGCTTCACATGGTATTCTTCCTGTTTGTGTCCAAATTTCTCTCTCCTTCTAAGGACACCAGTCATTGGATTTGGGGCTTGTTCTACTCCCTGTGAACTCATCTTCCCTTGATTACATCCGCGAAGACCCTGTTTTCAAACAAGGTCACATTCCCGGGCAGCAGGGGTTAGGATGTGTACATATCTTTCTGAGGGACACAATGCAACCCACAGCAGTCGCAGAGGTGAGGATTAGCCAAGAAAACTCCCGGCTTCGAGGCAACAGTAGGAGCTGGTTAGTAAAGACAGTGCTCCAATCGAGCTCTGTGGGAGCCCACATTCCCATGGCCTTGTTGAGACAGATAGGCAGTGTCCACATTTGAGATGTGGTCAGCCCTGAAGCTGACTCTAAGGAGGAGAAGAGGAAATGAGGTCCATGGAGCCCGGGGCTCCAAGATCAGGGATGTGGGGCCCCAGACTGACACCCCATCCTAGACTTCTAGCTTCCGGGCCCTATTTCTAGGGAACGCCCTCCTTAGCAACCAGGTCTGTCCAGGTGTGGTGCAGGTACCTAGGGATGTGGAAATGCTGATGCTGCTCCCTCTCTTCGTGCCCAATCTGGTGACAAACCTGGAGATTCAGGATGCAGCATGAGTTCTGTCACCCTGACCTGGACAGCTCCCCTGGGCCCAGACCACCCACCTGACACCTACTGGATCCGATGGTGGGAGGCAGGTTTCACCAGTGAGACCCTGAACATCTCAGGAACATGGGTCATGGAGGAGGGTCTGGGAAGTGGGGCCCTGTACCCCTTCACCCTCTGGTGAGACTCATGCCTATTCCAGGGTTGTAAGAAAGGGCTGGTCTGGGCCTCTGAGATCTTTCCTAGGAACTGGAGTATTCTCAAAGGATGGAGCCCTGTTGTTAGGGAGTGTCTCTCCTTAGCAGCGGGGGTGTGCAATCACCTCATTTTCCTGACCTACCTTTGAGAGTTAGAGCTTCAGAAGACAAGAAATACCCTGAAGTATCCGAGTCCAGGCGCCTGGGTGGCTCAGTTGGTTAAGCGACTGCCTTCGGCTCAGGTCATGATCCTGGAGTCCTGGGATCGAGTCCCACATCGGGCTCCCAGCTCAGCAGGGAGCCTGCTTCTTCCTCTGACCCTCTCCCCTCTCGTGCTGTTTCTCTCTCGCTCTCTAATAAATAAATAAATAAAACCTTAAAAAAAAAAAAAAAGTATCTGAGTCCAAGTTTCTGGTGTTCGGGCTCGGTTGGCTAGCTCTGTGTTTTGGCCTACCTCTCCGTCCTGGGTCCCCTGGGCTGGGAGGATGTGACAGGTAGGAGACCCAACATCATGGACACTGGAGGACAGGGACCTGGGAGGCTGAGACACTGTACCCCTTCGCCAAGTGTGGATGCCTACAGGTGCTCTGGGGCAGAGCGGGTGTTGAGTGGGGGGCATTTCCAACAATCCCTCCTCACTTGTCAGCTCCCAACAGGGTCACGGATCTGCACAAAGAAACTCAGACCAACAACTCAATCACCCTGGGGTGGGAGGCCCCCACAGACGCCCCCTCTCAGACCCACACATACTGGGTCCAGTGGGCCCCTGGGGGACATCCCCAGGGAAAGCAAGACCCCCGAGGACATCAAGCCAACTAGACAGGCAGGCCCAATGAGACTTGCTATGAGGTGTAGACTCTGGAACCCGGGACTTCGTACCGCTTCAGCGTGTGGGCAGAGAGGAACAACGTGGCCAGTTCTGCACAGAGCCTCCTTGCATCCACAGGTGAGGTGGGCCCCCTTCTACCTGGTGGGGGCTTAGGTCGGACCAAATCCCATCAGGCCATGGGGTCATGACTTCATAAGCTGCAGTGATACAGAGCAGCCAAGGGCTCATGGGAGTTGTAGTTTGAAGGGGTCTGTTGTTTGTCCATTTGGGGAGGACAGAATGTGAGAGATGAAGAAGGGTTTCGGTTTTGAGAAGGAAAGGATGGACTAGTTCTCAGAGAATTGGCACCACGGGTGGGAAGTGGGGGTGGGTGGGGGGATGGAAAGCCACCCTGTGTGGCTCCTACTAACGCCTCCTGTCCACCCAGCCCCGAGCCCGGTCACCATCACCTCCTGCATCAGCACCTCTGGGGGACACGGGGGCATCCTGACCCGGTCCTGCCCCTGGGGAGGCTACGAGGCCTTTGAGCTGCAGGTGGGTGGACAGCGGGACGCCCCGGACAGGTCCTCCTGTGGGAGGAGGGTGCCTGTGTCGGGTCTCTGGCCGGCCCAGTCCTACCCAGCCACTGCCACGACCATCTGGGATGGAATGAGGGCACCATCTACCTCTGTGACCTGCCACACCGAGAACACAGGTGAGCAGAGCCCCACGGGGACGGGACTATGGGGACCCCATCAGGCTTTGTTGGGAGGCAGTCTTGCTTACCCAAGGGGTCCTGTGTGTTTGTCTGTTTGCTTTGTTTTCTGCCTTCTTTAAAATAGCTTTATTGAGATATAATTCACATATCATACAATGCACCCACGTAAAGTATACGACTAATGGCTCCAAAACATCCACAGTACCATGTCACCCCATTACCTTCACATAGAACATTGTCCTTACCCACCAAAGAAATGTCACCTCCTTAAGCCATCACCCCCTAATTTTCCCACTTCCCCACCAACCTGGCCTAGGGAATCTCAAACTTACCTTCTGTCTCTATAGATTTGCCCATTTTGGACATTTCCTAAAAACACAATCAAACGATAGGTGGTCTTCTGTGGCTGGCTTCTCTCACTTGGTATAACGTTTCTAAGGTCCATTGATGTTATAGCATGTGTTGGTGATCTGTTCCTTTCTTTTGTATGCAGAGACCACATTTTGTTTATCCATCTGTCTATGGATGGATCAGTTGGGTGGTTTCCACGTTTTGGCCATTATGAGTAATGCTGCTATGAATGTTCATGTACATGATTCTGTACAGACACATGTCTTTATTTCTCTTGGGTATATATACTCAGGAGTGGGATCAAATGGGCAACTCTGTGTTTATCCTTTGGAGCACTGCCAAAATTTTTTCTGAGGTGGCTACACTATTTTCTGCTCATCAGTGGGGTATTTTGGAGATGTTTGAGCCTCATACTCAGGAAATCTCTGATCATATACCTTTGACTGTGGTCATAGTCTTTACTGGGCCCCCTCAGTCACTTCCTATGAATCAGGACCTCTTATTAGATTGGGTCTCTGATCTGGAGAGAGACGACGGGTTGGGGCAATGATAAATGGATGCTACTTCCAACTGGGTTTCTCTGGATCCTACTACTTGGGTGGGTCTCTTGCTTAGCAAGCAAGGTCCCTGGGGGACCAGCTCCATGAGGGGAATGGCCTCCCCACCAGGCTGTGTCAGACCCTACCAGAGCCTCTAGCCGGCACCTCAAAACTGGGTCAAGACAGTGTTCATAAAGCTGTCTTACAAGGAGAGGAGCAAGAAGGGGTTGGAGCTGGAGATCCATGAGTTAAAAGCCCTTTTTTCATATAGAAGAGAGATTATCAGCGTGTTTACCTGCTAAAGGCACAGAGGAGAGGGTAGAGATGCAGACTAGAAGGAGGAACTGATGCTGGAGAGGGTGGAAGGAATTGGAGCCCGGGGGAAGCAGAGTGGCCCTAAACGGGAGAAGCACCTTTTTTCCTTTTTATAATCAAAAAAACCTTAATTGTGGTCAAATACACATAGCATTGACCATCGTACCCATTTCTAGGTATCCAATTCCGTGGCGTTAAGTACATTCACGCTGTCGTGCGACGATCACCCCTGTCCATCCACAGAACTTTTCATCTCACAGAACTGAAACTCCGTCCCCACCAAACGCCCTCTCCCCATCCCCCCCACCCCCCAGCCCCTGGGTCCACTGTCCACTTTCTGCCTCTATGAATCTTGCTGCTCTAGGAACCTCATCCAAGTGACTCATCAGTATTTGTCCTTCTGTGACTGGCTTATCTCACTCAGCATAATGTTCTCCAGGTTCATCCATGGTGTAGCCCGTGTCAGAATATCCTTTCTTTTTTTTTTAAGATTTTATTTATTTATCTGAGAGAAAGCGTGAGAGAGCACAAGCAGGGGGAGCAGCAGGCAGAGGGAGAAGCAGACTCCCCCTCCTGAGCAGGGAGCCCGATGCAGGGCTCGATCCCAGGACCCCGGGATCATAACCAAAGCTGAAGGCAGATGCTTAACCGACTGAGCCACCCAGGTGCCCCCAGAATGTCCTTCCTTTTAAAGGCAGGATAATATTCCATTGCACAGACCCCATTTTGTTCATCCGTGTTCGACCGATGAACACAGTGATGAGGGAGTGAATGGTGGATGAAGGATGCTGGGCGCTGGACTGCTTGCTCCCACCTTTACTCTTTGAATAGTGCTGTTACGAACATGGGTGCACACTTGTCTCTTCGAGACGCTGCTTTCCGCTCAGGAGTGGAACAGGTAAATCAGACACGCCGTTTTGATCCAGCAAGTCCCCTTCCAAGTATTTACGTGCAGGAAATGCCATCGCTATCTTGACAAGGTATGTGCGCCCCCACATTCACTGCAGTGTTATGTGTGATGGCCAAGATTCGGAGACACCGAAGCGGCCACTGATGGGTGAGTGCATCAGGAAAATGTGGTGTATGTATAATGGAGTATGATGCAGCCTTAAAATAAAATAAAAGAAAAGCTTTGAGGTTAGGCATTTTCCTACTCAGGGGTTCTCTAGGAAAAGTATGTCAAGTAATAGCACAAACTATATAGTACTCAAAATATCTGTATGGTCATATGTGGACTAAAAGAAACTTCCATCTTTGTTTACAAAAAAAGGAATATGCAATCCTTTTATAAATCTGACAAAATGTATATTCATGACTCATAAATAGCTTATAAATATTAAAAATGTAGTTGGTCAAATATTTTTTAAATATGTATATTTTATATATAGTGTGTAAAATAGTATGGTAGGCACATTTTCTGAAATACTGAAGATTAATCGAAAATGACATTAAATAGGAACTGTAAAAAAAAGGAAATCCTAACATTGGGGACACGGTGTGCAGATCTTGAGGACATGATACTAAGTGAGATAAGTCAGGCAGAGAAAGAGAAATACTGCATGACATCACCTGTATTTGAAGCTTAAAAAAAAATTGAGTTCGTAGAAACCGAGACCAGAGGCAAAGGGAGGAGGGCTGGTGAATTGGGAGAAGGGGATCAGAAGGTGTAAGCTTCCAGTTACAGGATGAATAGGTCCTGGGGATGCTAAGAAACACTTAACAGCAACTGGGGCGGAGGGGTGTGTGCGGGGAAGGCTTTTCTCTCATCCTGAGAGCACAGGACTGCAGGAGGTTAAATTCTGCCCCTTTCCCACAGCTTCTCAGAGGACATCCTGGTGGAAGACTTTGCTGACCACGTCAGGAAAAAGGACAGCAATTGTGGCTTCGAGCAGTACCAGGTGGGCGGGGAGCGAAGGGGTGGAGCTGAGCCCCACGTGCCCACGCCGGACCTCCCCCCCCCCACACCTTTTGGGATTAAACTAAAGCAGGGCCACCTGTTTTGTTTGCTTATGCAAACAAGAGATTCTTTTTTTGGCCTCCTGGAAATCTGACCCTATGACCCGCCTTCAGGTCAGTGCTGAAGAAACACCTTGGTTTTTCCCTGATGCCCCTTCTCTCTCCTACCTCTCCAGCTCCCACTGTGCCCCAAACCCTCCCAAGTGCCCTGCGGGGTTGGGGGTACACATGCTTTATTTTTGTGGGTGCTACAGAATTCCGGGGCGTGGGGGTGAGTGGGGTGGTGCTGAACGGGGGTACCCTCTGGGGAAGGTAGAGAAATTCCAATGCCTGTGCACCTCCCCTTCGGCCTCTGCCCCCAGCAGTCGGCTCTGGAGAGCCCCAGCCGGTCTCCAACGGTGGCCTCGGCTCTGGAAAACAGCACCAAGAACCGTTACGGGAACGTGCTGCCCTGTGAGTCTTACTAAGCCTCTGCTGACCTCATCCCCAGCCGTGACTTTGTCAACACCTCATCCCGGGTCCCCGTCCCCTAGGAGACACAAAGCTCCTGCCCCCGAGAGGTGGGCACTGCTGGCCCCTCCTGGAGCTCCCAGTGCCTGCCTGCCCTCCGCGTGGCTGCTGTCCCTGGGTCCCCCCCAACCCGCCCGCTTCACTGATGCTGGCCTCCTCCCCCAGATGACTGGTCCCGTGTGTCCCTGAAGCCCCTCCAGGAGGAGCCAGACTCAGGCTACACCAACGCCAGCTCCATGCCTGTAAGGTTGCGGTCAGGACCCAGGAGGGTGCTGAGTGACGCTGAGGAGGGAAGGGCTGCAATCTGCCTCCCTCCACCCAGGGGGCAAACTGGGGCGAACCCCCAGGAGTTCATTGCAGCCCAGGGCCCCCTGCCCAAGACGGTGGGTGATTTCTGGCACCTGGTGTGGGAGCAGCAGAGCAGCACCCTGGTCATGCTGACCACCTGCGTGGAATCCGGCCAGGTGAGAGCCCTGCAGGGGTCTCGGTGTTGACCCCTGAGCTCCAACCCACCCACGACCATGCCCGGGACACGGATCCCACTGTCCACCCTGACCCAGACCTCGCTGATTCCCTCCCATACAACCCCAGCCTCCTCCAGTCGCCCCAGCCCATCCCTTGGTCCATCTAATCCAATGACCTGGGGAAGGAGGGGTCCCCCTGGCTGGGATGAATGGAACCTGGCTGCCCCGGGGTCTTGCCTCCTCACTAGGCACTGAATGCAAGCGCCACAGTGTAGACGGGCACCGGGACGGGTTGTCTGGGGCCTCCTGTTCTCTGACCTCCCAGTTTGCCCCCAGGTGAAGTGTGAGCATTACTGGCCTCTTGAGGCCGAGCCCTGCACACATGGGCACCTACAAGTGACGCTGGAGGGTGAGGAGGTGCTGGAGGACTGGACAGTCTGAGACCTGAAGCTCCAGCACATGAGTCCACGGTACTCAGACGCCTCCAAACCCGTCCCGAAGCTGAGCCTTCTGTCACTCTCCCAGGGGACCACAGTGTGCCCAGGGATGCCCCCCGCCACTCAGAAACCAGCCCCCCCAGGGGTCCTGAGCTCTCCCTCCCCAATCCACCCTCCCTCTAGATGCAAGAGCAGAAAACACTACTGGTGCGTCAGTTCCATTACGTGACCTGGCCAGACCATGGCGTCCCCCACTCCCCAGACCCCATGCTGGCCTTCTGGAAGATGCTGTGGCCGTGGCTGGACAAGACCGCGGGGGGAGGCCCCCCATTGTGCACTGCAGGTGAGGACCCCCTCACAGTGAGGGCACTGCCCCTGTGGGACTCAGGAACCTGGGTTAGTGGGTCCTTGGGCATCTCTGCAGGAGATGGAAGAGAGGAGGAGCAGATGGAGGATGTGGAGGCAGAAGGCAAAGGGGCAGCGAGGCAGAGGGACATGAGGATGGGGTGATGAGACACCCCATGGTGAGGAGAGGAATGCAGTGGTGGGAAGAAGGGGGGGAGGGGTGAAGAGCAGGAGGGACAAAAAGCCAGAGGTTTTGAGAAGCATTTGAAACACCTCCAACGCGTGCCCCGGACCTCACCCCGTCCACCATTCTCCTGATATTGATCCTGACACCTCTGTAGGTGAGGTTCTGGGCGGGGAATCAAGGAGCCTGCTCCAGAGGGGCGGACAGCCTCTGAAATGGGGCTCAGGCTGCAGGGACAGCCTCTGCCTCGCTGGTCTGCAGGGCAGCCTCAGGACCAAAGAGGTTTCCTCCCCACTGCAGAGCTGGGGAAACCCAGTCAGAAAGCCGAAGTCTTGGGTTCAAGGCTGCTAGCAAGTGGCCGAACTGATGCCCGTGGTGGCACTCTTAAGCTCTCTGCTGAAGTGTGTCCTAACACCTGCCCTGTCCCCAGATAGCTCCCCCTGGAGGTGTCCCCAGCAAGGGGTCATCCCTCCCCTGCAAGCACAGAAGGGACTCTTGCAGAGTGGTTAGGAGGATTAACTTGAACTGTAAAAAGGAGTGAAGTACTGATTCACTCGAGGATGTGGAAGACTTTGAAAACATGATGTTGAGTGAACGAAGCCAGACACGAAAGGTCCCACGTGGTGCGATCCCATTTGCAGAAGGTGTCCAGGATAGGAAAATCCACGGAGCCAGAAAACAGCTCGATGGCCACCAGGGGCTGGGGACAGGGGGACAGGGGGAGGGACTGCTTAATGGGCACAGGGTCTCCTTCTGGGGAGATGGAACTGTCTGGGAACTAATTAAACCTGGTGGGCACACAGCATTATGAATGTCCTAAATGCCACTGAATTGTTTTCTTTAAAATGGTTAGTTTGATGTTTAAACATTATTTTTTGGAACAATCAGCTTGGGAGTTCCTTTTCTCAAGTGTGAACTCCAGCTCTGTGGTTCACTCTCCAAGTGACCCAGGACAGACAAGTGACCTCATGTCACTCAGCCTCCATTTCCCTGTCTCTAAAATGGGCGTGCTAGCAGCTCCAACTTCTCAAGGCCGGGGAAAGAGTAAAGGGCATGTCGGGCACTTGAGGCAGGGCCTAGCAGACAGGAGGAACCCCAGGTATAGTCACACGCAGTGGCTCTTCTCTCCATTAAATAACCCCCACTTAACACTGTATCCCCCAGAATGCTATGTTGCTGAACAATACACTGATCCTGGGTGCTCCAAACACAGTTCCCTCCTATCAGCCAAGACTCCCCCTTCCTGTGACCTGACCCTTTCTTGTTCCTGTCTAGTGCTGGCGTGGGCCACACGGGCACCCTCATTGCCTTGGACGTCCTGCTGAGGCAGCTGGAACAGGATCGATGTGTGGGGCCCTTCAGCTATGTGCGGAAGATGAGGGAAACCCGGCCTCTGATGGTGCAGACCGAGGTGATGGGGCTCCTGAGAGCACAGGGTGGGGGGCTCTGGGAGAGGGGGGAATCAGGCCAAGGCTCACCCCCTACCCCGTGCCCCTCCCCAGGCCCAGTATGTGTTCCTGCACCACTGCATCCTGAGATTTCTCTGGCAGTCAGGCCGAGCCCCAACAGACAACGGGGCTGCGTATGAGAACCCACTGTATGAGAATGTCTGAGCCCCAGGAGGGCTGAGACCCCAGCCCAGCTAGACTCGAACTCTGGATCCCCACTTCAGCTCAGACTCCTGGAGCCCTGGGACAGCAGAGGGCTGGGGTCCCAGACTCCGGGCTCTTGCAGGGGCCTGGCAGCCTAAACTGTTTCCCTGGAAGGGAGAGGGCAGGTGGGAGCAGGTATCCTGAACTCCTGGTTCCTCCAAGGAGGGAGGGATGGGAGCTAGGATTTCTCATTCTTTGAGGGAGGAGGAGGGTGGGGGCTCAGGCTGCAGGGTCTTAAAGAAGCTAGATCCTGAGGAAGGAAGAAATTAGAGTCTGGAATTCTAACTACCCCGGGAGTGAGGGCAGGGAGGATCCATGCCATGTTTTACTCCGGAAACCAAATCAGCCTCCTAGGATCTGAGATTTCCCTGCACCCCACTGCTTGTACATATCTTTTTTTTCTATCCCATAATTTATTAAATCACTATTCTCCCCAGAGACGCTATAGTGGATTTCTGGGTTTGGGGTGGGAATGGGGCTGGATTCCTGATGTTCAGGTACTGAGGTTAATGTCCTGGGAGAGAAGCTAGAAGGACCCACAATTTTGCAACTGAAAAAATGTTTGGATGGTTGAGTCTCTCAGAGAGGGTTGGAGGCCCATACTTGTGTCCAGGGTCTGGGCAGTGTGGACGCCGTTTGCTGAAGCTAGGAGCATAGGGGCTTGCTTCCTGGGCCTGGAGGCTCCTGAGTCCTCGGACTGGGTATCCTGGCGAGGGTGGGGGTGGAGGTGGGGAGAGGGGGCCTCGTTGCCAGACAGCTGGACTAGAAAGCAGAAAATCTTCGGGGACCAGGATAAATATCCGTGGGCTCCCTAGTGGTTCCTGGCTGGGGGCGGGACGAGGGGCGGGACGGGGCTCTCCCTGTACCCGGGACCTAACACGCACGCGCGCGCGCACACACACACACATATACACACGCACACGCACACGCACACGCACGCACTCACCAGCCGGCTCCGCTCTGCCGCGCCCCCGCCCCACCGAGCGCCGCGATCAGCACCCAGGACAGCGCCACCCGCCCGCGTGCGGGGGCGGGGTCCGGGCAGGGCCCGCGCCTGGGTGTCTCCTGCGAGGGTCCTGTCTAGCGGCCGAGCAGGTAGGAGCCTCTGGGAGGCCCTCCCTAAGCCCCCTCCTCATCCCCATCCCTAGAGAGCCGTGGTGTGTGTGGGGGGGGCGAGGAGGGGCACTGGGGAGGGACCGACCGAGGGAGTGGGAGGACTGGAGCCTGAAATGGGGAGATTGGGATTTAGAGAAAGGTGTGGAGACAAAAAGCGGAGGGGAGGGAGGAGCAGGCAGGGGGCGGGAGTGGGAGACCCTTGGAGTCACAGAACAGACCACAGGCGGAGGACAAGGGAGACACAGGGGCGCGGCGAGAGGCGGGTGGGGGGACGGATAGAAATAGGGAGTGGAGAGAGGTGTGGAGGCCGAGGCGGTCACGAGGACAGGTGTAAAGACAGAGCTCGGGATGCGTGGGAGTGACAGCAGGCCGGGAAGGATGTGCGCCCCCACAGACCCCCTCCCATCCCCCCCCCGCCCCGGCAGTGGCAGCAGGGAGCCCTCGGCCTCAGCCCGAGCGTGAGAGGGCGGGGAGCCCGAGTCTCTGCCCGCAGGGCCAGATGTGCAGGGAGGAGCCTGCCGAGGGCGCGTGGACCGACAGGCGAGGCCGCCCTCTCCCCACGCTCGCTCTGCGCGGGGTCAGGGGCTGGGGTCCTGACCCCGCGAGGTGCGAGCCTGCCGCGCAGGGACTCTGCCTGTACGTCAGCCCCACCCGTTGTCTTGGCAACAGCCCGTTGCCAGGGCAACCATCGTTGCTCGCGCCCTGCCCGAACCAGCCACCCGTTGCTCGGGGCAACCCAGGGCCCCGGTTCTCACGCCCGCCTTCGCCTGCTTCCGGTTCAGGCCCGCGAGGACGGGCACGGAAGGGGTAGAAGTCGGCGGGATTCCTGGGGGGCCTTGGAGGGTGGGGGCGTCCCTGTGGGATGGAACTAGGTCCTGTTACCCACCCCTGGCGCCCGCCCTCCGTCGCGGGGAGGCTGACACTACAACCCCCAGCATGCCTCGCGGCTGCTGGCTAATTCCTATGCGGCCGGCCGCCCAGGGTGCCGATGGGAATTGGAGTTCTTGGTTGTTCGGCAGCTTCACAGAACGCACCGGGTGGGCGTGGGGGGCTAGGGCTCTTGGGTGCCTCCGCAGAAAGGACCGTAAGACCCCGCCGACATGTTCTCGGAGCCCCCAACCCCAGGGCCTCCAGCGCCCGACACGCCTCCTGACTCGAGTCGCATTGACCACGGCCCTGGTGAGCGAGCCTCGGGGGCCAGAGCGAAGGGAAAGCCCGGCTGGGATTCTCAGGGGCGGGATTCGGGCGGGTGTACTCGGCCGGCGGGCGGGCAAATCCGGGTGGCACTGCAGTGGGAATCCTGGGCTTGACTCTTAAGTGAAATGGACAAGAAAATCGAGAACCAGGTCAAAGAGTGTGGAATGGAATGGGATCTTGGACTGTCCACCTCTGCTTTCTATTAAAGATAGGGAAATTGAGGCATGGCTTCCAAACGCGTCAGGGGTTGAGCAGAAATTAGAATGGGGGTGGCAGGGGAGATGGAATTAACAGGCGAGACAATCTGGACGTTGTCAGCCTAGAATAGGGCACCGGATCGCTTTATAGGTGAGAGCAGTTGGAAGGAAAACACGGCAATAAAACGGAATGGAAAAGGCCGGAGGTGAAACAAGGCCAGAATTCCAGCTTCCACGTGTAATTCGGACTGGATCAGCCGGCTTGCTTCCTAGGGCCTCAATGAGTGTTGTCTTATGCCCTCTGCAGTACCCCCCTGGGCCCTGGCCGCAATCGTTCTGGTCTCAGGCCTCCTCGTCTTCGGCTGTTGTTTCTGTGTCTACCGGAAGCGTTGTCGGAGGCGGTTGGGCAAGAAGAGCCAGGCCCAAGCCCAGGTCCACCTTCAGGAAGTGAAGGAGCTAGGCCGGAGTTACATAGACAAGGTGTGGCCTGGCCCAGCCCCTCAGCCCTGCCCCGACCCGCACCCTTGGCCCAGCAGCCGCAGTCCCTGCTCTCTTCCTTCCTATGCCCACCTTATTGGCTCATCTCCCACCTGGACCCTAGGGATCTCGAGACGGGCCGGATCTAGTCCCTGTTCGCGAGAACCAGTCTGGTGGGGGAAGTCAGACACTCACACAGACGTTCACAAGCCAAGGTGGTATGTGCCACGTTAGGGGCAGCCCAAAGCATATGGGGGTGCAGAGAAACCACCTGTAGCCTGGGCAGTCCAAGGATGCGTCCCAGTAGAGGTATCTTTTGTGTTGAGACCCAAAGAACACACAGATTCACCCAGAACGGAGAGAAGGACATTGTCGTTCGAGGGAAGAACATGTACTGGGGCCTGGAATCCAGACTCTGAGGCATTTCACAATAGCTGGAGCACAGATGGCAAATATCCTGCACTCTAGAGTGGGTGTCTGAAGAGCTCAGTAGTACTCATGTCACGAGGGCAATTGAGAACCATAGAAGATTCGTGCGCAGAGGAGGAACAGGGTCACATGGGTGTTGGAATGAATCCTCTGGAACCCGTGTGGAGGATGGATTTGCGGCAAGGAGGTCAGGGAGGAGGCTGGTGTAGCAGCCTCAAGAGAATGAAAGAAACGTGAGTTAGAAGAGGCCACTGGAATGGAAAATGAAAGCTTACAGGTGTCAGGGTCTGAGTGCAGAGTGGAATGGTGCTCACCTGGAAGCCAGGAAGTCCTAGGTTTCCAACCCAGAGGAACCATTCCCCAGCTCTGTGACCTGGGGGAATTCACTATCCTCTGAGCCTCAAGTGTGTAGTCTGTAACCAGCATTTCTCCTCCTCCCTTGTCAACAAATAGCTGTTGTAATGATCGCCCATCAGGCAGGACCTTTAGGGTCCTGGTATCCAGCCTCCCTCCCTATCCCTCAAGCCAGCGATGTCCAAAGACCACCTGCATCAGACTCACCTCAGGTTCTCATGGAAACACAAATTCTGGGCCTTGTACCAGGCCTAACGAATCAGAATCTCTGAAGTGAAGGCATGTCACCGCATTTCTCAGGGGAATTCTGATTCACGTTGAATTTTGAAAATTGGTGGCTTAGGTTAAGGAGAACTCTTGTTCTAGCTTAGAATGGCAAATACAGGGTAAAGATACTGTTCCTCCTCCATGTTTTTCTGTGGCGAGATCACTAGTCAACATGTCAATTTGGACAACAACCCCAGTACATCCATTTGCACGTGAAATAAAAGCTTCTGCATCCTTCCTGTAGGCAACAAGGTGCTATCAGCACCTGTTTTTCTAGTCTAGGCAGGACAAACACACGGCATGTGTGTCTGTTCTCCCCCATAGCAGACATAATTAATCAAGCTTTGACTAAGTACTGCATCTGTGTTACTATGACCTGTGGCAGACATCACTAGTCAAACTCTGACTCTGTTTAGCCTGCAAGTGCTCAGGGGTAGCCTGAGGGACCAGTGACTCTCCCTTGGCTTCTGGGCCTGGAGGATACCACTATCAGGGGGAGGGTTCACCTGCCCTTGCTCCTGGCTCCCTAAGGTGCAGCCGGAGGTGGAGGAGTTGGAGCCAGCACCGTCTGGGCCAGGGTCACAGGTGGCCGAGAAGCATGAGCTTGGACGACTGCAGTACTCACTCGATTATGATTTCCAGAGTGGCCAGGTGGGTGGAGGAGGGGGGTGGTGTGGAGGGGAGGGTCCGAGGGTTCTAGCCCCTTTCTAGAGGAGGCTCCAAAAAGGAAGCTAAGACTAGAGTCCCCTCATCACCTTTCAGCTGCTGGTGGGCATCCTGCAAGCTGAGGGATTGGCAGCCTTGGACCTGGGGGGCTCCTCCGACCCCTACGTGCGGGTCTACCTGCTGCCAGACAAGCGGAGGCGGCATGAGACCAAGGTGCATCGGCAGACGCTGAACCCACACTTTGGGGAGAACTTTGCC